GTTTCGAATCGACACGTCGTGGCGTCCGCGAATCGCTCGGTCGTTCGGGTTCTTACGGGCACGGGAATCGAAATTAGCGAACTGAGCTTGTCCAATCTATGGGTTTGATTGCTTGGTTTGGAATGTTTGCGTTTCGGGACTGGTTTTTTATGCTGGAGTATTGGGTTTTTCATGGTGAAGCGTATGAGTTTTAGGGTTTTTTTTTCTTGTTTCGAATTGGTTGCTTTTTATTGAACGTTTTGGTTTTCTTCTCCGTGAACTGACGGGTACAGGCGAAGGATAATCAAGAGGAGATGAAAAGGAGAATGCTTGCCAATACGTACGGGTCGGCTTTTCCCCTGAAGATGGAGCTGGATAGGCAAATCCTTTCCCGGTATGACTGACCCTCGTGTGTGCGATTGTTTCTCGAAGAGGGTACTTTGATTCGGTGAAGTTAAGATCTTTGGCCTTTGTAGCGGAAACTCCGAGTGGTCGTTGCGTGCAATCTGAAGTTAAATGAGTGTTTGTGGAGCTTCTGATTCTGTCGGCTGCAGTTCTTTGGGGGAAGCATACATAGTCCTTGGAATTTCGGAACAGTTTGCGTATGTTTGTTGTCTAGTTAGCCATAGTCATGTATTTGGCAATGAGATTGGTGGGAGCCTCTTTGTTTTGCTATATTGCAAGCGGAGTGGATCATAGTTTTCTCTCTGTCTGCGGCTGTCATCCGCTGAGTACACACTTGGAGGTGCTCCTCAAAACAAGTTTGACCTTGAACAGCATTTTCTTTTGTGTTAGTCCTTGCCATGAGAAATTGTTACGTGAGTAGGCATATTTTGGTATTGTTTGACAGGGATCCTACGTTATAATGTAAGAAATAAAAGATGGTGGGGGAGATTTAGTCTGGTATTCTTAAACTGGTGAAGTCATCCATTGGACTGTTGTGATTATCGCTGTCATGGTTGTAGATAATATTAATAGGGGTTTGATAGGAACTAATTGAGCGGTAAGAAGGACTAGCTTCTCCTTTTCTTAACTTGGGAGAATCTGTATGTATGAAAAGAGAATACGAAAAATGAAAGAACGAACTAATGACAAAACGATCAATTTAGTGCTTATGTGTATATCAATGTCTGCCTTAAGGTTATTGTTCCTCATTTTCATGGTCAGTTTGCAAATGGCAATGTGGATGAAGATTTGAACTTCATTTTGATGTCACTTTTGCCGCAGCATGTTGTTACACGACCTTTCTCGATTATCATGTGTCTATGTATAACTTCTCACTGTAAGTGCAAGTTATAACTCCTCATTTTCTGTATAGTTCCTTTGTTAAGTCATTGCGACCATGCTGCCTCACTTTCTTGGAAGACCAAGAGCTGATGTCAGTTGTATAACCCCTTGCCAGAATGAACAGCAACCCCTGGATGTAAATATCTGAAGCTTGTTTTGAAATATCCCATCTTATCCCTTTCGGCTTCTTTTGCCTAACCGGCCTAATAAGTCTGTCAGATGCTGAGCGTATAGTTTTCCTTTCCATTGTACTTTGCCTACAAACTTTTTTCTTAGAGAGCTCCTCAATCCTACATCTTCGTGAATTGGCTTATTAAGTGGCTCAGCTATGCTGATCTGAACTCACTGGGAGTAATCCCTTGTTTTCTCTCTGCATGTGAGTGCAGCATTCTATAATTATGGATACCTAGATATGAAATTATGACCTGGTTCACTTCTCCTCCTTCTCGTTTATGGAATTCTTCTCTTCCAACTAGTAAAATGCGGGCTTTTATTACTTCAAGCTATTATTTGTCTTGTCTAGGTATGGAACCATGGAATATATGTTTAGAATATATTCCATTTAAAGAGAGTTGAAAAACGCTCTATCTCTAACCGCCTATTGGTGAGGAAAGGAGAATGGATCTTTTAGAATTTCCAAGAAATCTCAATTGAAAGCTCCTAGATGTCGAAACTTCGTCTTACAAAGGACAGAGATATCCCATTCAGAAACCTCAAGGCTTGTGTGGGGCTAATATTATTCATTGAACAGAGATATCCCATTCAGAAAGACGGGCAAATGTATTAGCTGACCTCCTAGCATCATATCACAGCAACTACTGCGACGCCATTCAAACATTGTATTTTCTCATGTTGAAAATTTTGCATGCTTATGCATTTGCCCGTCTTTCTCTTTATTGCAGAAGATTTATGACATGATGCTGGATAGGCTGGGGATGAAAATTAGGAAATATATCCGTTGTCTTGTCAGTTTTTCCTGTCGTAGTTGCATGGTTATGACACAATTTGGACCTATATGTGCAGTTATCTGCATTTTATAGTTTTCCTTCATTGAGTTTGCTTGTTGTGCTTCACCTTGTGTAGAATGTAGATACTGTTCACTTGCCCTTTTGACTATTGGGATATTCTTTAGGCAGATTTTACCATGTAGTAGGTTTTCTTTTTAAACTGAACTCAGATATTTTGCAGATTCCAGAGGCCCCCAGGGACAATCTCATCTTCAATGCTTGGTTTGGAGGCTCTCACTGGGAGCTTGGATGACTTTGGCTTTGAGGATTACTTGAACGGTAAAAAATTGTGTTATGATTACTTCGCTGTCCAGACTGTGTACACTTATCTCTTTACATCTTTCTTGCTCTCTTCATCCCAATTTGTAGTGGCAAGTTGCAACATCGAGCATGTTAATCATGATTTTGGTGTCTGGTCTAGCATGTTAGTCATTATTTATTGTTTCAAACTTTTGGTGAATGGGAAAACGACATGGGATATTGCGCTGTGATGGTATAATTTGATAAGAACTGGTCGGGGTAATGTGATTTGCAAATCGTTCTGAATCTAGATCCCAGTCTAATAACTTAAGCTGATTATATGGACTTTTACTGCAAATCACTTAGTGATTGCTATATATTTTTTTTTTGGTGCTTTCTGCAGACCCTCGTGATTCTGAATCTTTCCGGCCGTTGGACATGCATCATGCAATGGAAGTCCGCCTCGGTCTTTCCAAAGGTCCAGCCTGCCCCAGTTTCATGTAATTTCAGTCTCTGCTAAATCAATCAAGAATTTGGAGTCCCTGTTCTCTCGAGGAACCTATTTTGATTAAGTTTCAATCAGAACTGTATGTGAAAGCTGAATTATCATGCATTTGAAATTTGAGAGGAAACAGGATGTGTATCATTGATGTCTATTGATTCCGAACGATGTGGTGTACACGGCGTTTGCTTTCTTAGGTGCCGTTGAAAGCGGTTCTCTGAATAGTGTTGCATCTGTTGCCGGAGTTTATTAGCAGACCAGCAGACTTATTCAGCCATTACAGCGCAGCCATGACTTCCTTATCACATGTTAGAGTTGGAAAACAGTCGAGTCGGATCGGGTTGGGTTGCTTGAGCTCCAATGCCGCGGTGGAGCTCTAGCCAGTCCAATCTGCAACTCAAGCTCGACACCGCCACGGAGCTCGAACCCTCCAATCTAGGGCCAAGGCTTGATGCCTGTGGCTAAAGATGTGGCGGTTCGATCTGAGAACCAATTAGAACCGGCCTGATTGGCTTGGTTCTAGGTTCGAGGAATATTTGATATGGTTCTCGGTTCTAAAACAACCTTTATCTGATTCGATTTCCGATCCTTATGCATGAACCACCGTTTTAACCTGGAGTTGACTAACTGGGCCAATTCTAAAATCGAACCTGTTTAGAACCGGTCGACCGAGAGGATTGGAACCCATGACCTCAAGTATGAGGCTAGATAATTGAATTGAATTTTCACAAAGTAAATCCTTGACTGAATCAGAAGTGAAAATTGACCTGGAACCGGTCATTTCAAATGTAAAGGGTTCGATTCTTAATTCTGTTTCTTCTAAATCGATCAATCCTAAAATCTATCACCCCTACCTGGGATGAAGCTTGAGCCCGCTTGACACCGCAAAGGAGCACGAGCTCGAGCCCTTTAGATGTAGGGCTCGGCCCCCAAGCTCGACGGCTGATAGGGCAGGGTGGACAGAGAGATGGGCATTGGCGGGGTTGGCTATGGGTGACGGGGGGTGGCTTGGCTCAGGGAGGCCGCAGGTGGCAAGGTGGCGCTAGGGAGGAGAGGCACTGTGCAGTGGGTGGGATGGGTGGAATTAGAGTTTGATAAGTGTGTTTTTCATTGTAGGTGGACATGAATGATGATGGGAGGGACGAAATTGGAAGGAAAATGAAAATCTGTGGATAAAGTCAAATGTTATATGCATTTTCAAATGAAATGACGAAAGTGAGTGTACTAGTTGTTGGTTTTGAAAACTAAGGATGCATAAGGATGGAAATTGATGTGTGAACCCAAATGTGATGATGGTATTCAAAATTTTCCCTTTTTCATACACATGTTAAACCTGTTTTTAAGATTTTAGGAGATCCATATACATCCCAACCCCATTAAAGCTGAGGGCTTGTTTGAACTCAATTATGTGTTGAAAATCTAAATTTCAGCACTTAATGAGATTAAATCTGTTTAATAGCTTTAAATAAAACTGACTTAAATGATTAAATTAAGTCAAAAATCAACTTCGTTGAAAATCTTGTATGTTGTTGGACTTACCAATAATGGTCTTTTTTTTAGTCTGGTAAGAGATTAATAATCTTTATCGATCGATTTTAAATTATCAGGACAGCCTTTTGTTTCTACTTCAGCACTTAAGATTGTCTGACACCTGAAATTTAGTACTTAAATCTTCAGCTTTACCAAACTGGATTTGAGTTAAAAGAGTGAGTTGGTGACTCATTTTGCCACATACATCTGCAGAAGGCTCAATGCAGTAAGCAAGAAATTTGTGCTGCCAAAACTGGCTTTTACTTTCTTTTTTTTTTGGTTGCAGTAAAGCATATGTATAATCAACAGCGCAGGACTAAATCGAATGGCTGACAATGAGGATATAACTAGGTACCTAAATCGTTCGAAAAGTACACAGGTAAACTGCTTTATTTTACCAAGCAGACTCTAAATTGCACCCCCATGCAAGATGGAAAGAACCAGGAATACCAGGATTTCCATCATTTGCTTTCCCCTGAAATTAACTCACAATCGGTTTATACAGGATCAATACATTGAGTTACTGTGATATTTCATCGATGTCACGATGAGGATGACCCCTCAGTACAAGATCAAGAATACAATCTGGATTCATAATAAATACGAAAAAGCAAAAAGTATTTGCAGTTTCTCTACTCGGCTGGACCAACCTTGCCATTTGCAGGAGCGAGAATGGTGAGGACAATAAAACCACCCAATACCACAACCAAGACACCCAACGAGTTCATGAGCAAGGCCTCCGAAGAATACCGTGATATTACCTGATTTGTCTGAAGGAATGTGGCCTTCTCTAGAAAACCCGTGGTAGCAGTAGCAATAGCGAGAGCATAGATATAGATGCCGAAAAATACATGCCAAGGAAGTAATGTGGCCCTGCTAGTCCTTGAGCCACCCGGGTACCAGTAGATCACAAATCCAAGTGCCCACTGAGGAGAAAAACAATGTGACAGCTAAATCACTGCTTAAAATGTGATAGCAAACACGAAAGACAATAGAGTAGATTTTACCTGAATGCCGAACAAAAGAATGCAGGCAAGTCCCAACCAGGAATGCAGACTGTAAAAATTGTCAATGCCCTTGTCGTTATGAAACTTCAACGCGGCCCAGATTCCAACCACACTTAGACAGAAGGCGAGAAGTTGTAGTGTAAGATGAACTAATTTTTTAAAGCTCTGTGTTCCTGAAACTGTCTTGTATGCGATCATGGCTGCACACACCAACTACGACTGAGTAAACAGTAGTCTACCTTCTGCTACAATGCTAGCTAATATGGTCATGGTTATCTGAATACCTAATGCTCTTTCCACCATGTCTTTCTTGTCTTTCATGCATGGTTCTATACAGAGTTTATAAAAAATTGCAGGGAAAAAGAATTTACCTTCACCATTCAGAAGAATGAGGCCAGTCACCATTAAAACAGGATGGACCTATTACAATGAAAAAGAACCAAGGTTTATGATAAGCAGATAGATACTGATGCTACAGAGCTTGTTTCATTGCAATCCCACTCATTAGAGCTCTTCAGTATATTGTAGTTTTGTGAATCTCGGGCATCAATTTACATGCTTCAATATAGGATAAAAATTATATTGCAAAAATCGTCTGTATGAAACTAAACCCAATGTACGAAGCAAATGCACAAGCATTGCTCTTGAACTCAATGTGCCTTACATTGGGAACGTGACTGGAAAAACCCCCAAAATATGTTAGCATGAATAACCTCAGGTCTACCCCAATCCAACGCAGGATGTGATCCTGTATGTGTTTCAATCTCTATTCTTCTTCTTGTTTAAGCAACAAGTTTCCTTTTCTATATTTTCATGATAAAGAGCTTGAATTGCCAATAACTTAACTGAGGAGATAATGCACAAATTACCTTCCACAGTTTTCTCATTTTGTTTGAAACTTGCTCCTGAACCAGCTCAAATGTCTATATTCTACAAAAGCATCTACCCATGCAATTTCTATTTACGCATTCCACCAGCAGTTCGTAATGTTATTCGTATTATCCTGCTAGAAGGCTAGAAATGCCGATTTAGCTTCAATTATCCATAAAACACTATGTATCTAAACATTTCTGAATTCTTTTTGGCAAGCCTATGAATGTCTATAAGTTAGCAGCATTCAGCTAGGGAACAATTCTTAGATCTTAGAAAGATATTGCCGCTTGTATACAAATGTTGAAAACATCAAGAAATCAACTGGGCGATCACGTCAATGGTACTCTCAAGAAATCAACTGGTCATTACCCCAACCAGTTGAATAATTTTAGCATCTGCACCTAGCCCACAGCAACCATCAGATAAAGTAGGTCGTATGTGAGACCCATTTGATCGAAGGGTTCATGTGCACAGGGGGCACATTTAAATGGCGCACCCAATATGCATTGCCAGTTTTTACGCACTTGACTCAGAATGTAAGAACTGACATATGTATCTCATAAGACCAGAAACATAAAGCAACTAAAACTGCCAGAGTTCACATGCCAAGTATACAATAAAATCTAATCTAAAGCCCGAAGAGTCAACTATGTCCTAGAAATCTATTCCAGAGGACTCGAGCAGATTCAGAGTCAAGGAGTCTGTGAAATTGCATAATGTTCAAATGTATGTGCAGGGCATCTAAACGTGAACAAACACTGAAGTTTAGACCTCCAATTCCAATCGGTTGAGATAGGGCTTGGAAAATACTAAAGCAAGTGCATCCATTTAACCAAAAATAGCCTGAAGACATGAATGCAACATTTTGTGTAAACAATCTCTTAATCCACATGGGCACACCTGTCAACTAATTCTTATGATCATCAACAGGTCATGATTGATTAACTTCACTCGAAACAATCAAAATCCGACTCAGAAATCTCTCTACCCCTCTCTCAACAACAACGGCCTAACCTCCAGCACTCACAACACGAGCATTACTCAAAATGAATAAAAAAACCATCTCAATCCGCGAACCAGGCTTCCAAGTTGCAACCATCCAATGCACTCAGACAAGAACGTGAAATGAACCGAATCAAACAATACCCAGAAAAGGGCAAAACGTACCCACCACAGAAAGCCAAAAACCCAAGAGCATCCATTAACAGTAACAACATATGCACTCCTCATTCACCACTAAAGATGGAGGAAAGGGAAACCTGTTGTGTGTGTGTGTGTGTGTGGATCAGAGAGAGAGAGAGAGAGAGAGAGAGAGAGAGAGAGAAAGTTACGTTGAAGATGAGATCTTTATCGTCAGAGACGAGTGCGAGTCCTCCTCTGAAATGGACAGCCCAGATGAGCACAAGAGATATGATGGTGACACCCATCGCTCTTATGATCCGCACGATCGGAAATCTCACCACCGGCACACCCATGGCTGATCAATCACACACAGCGAGAGAGAGAGAGAAAGAGAGTACAGCCTTCCGGGGGGGGAGGGGTTTCACGTCAAAAGGGTTTTGCTGGAAGAGGGATAGGAGAGGTAAAGTCGTTTATGGCTTCACTTCAGAAGGGATTGCTTGAAGAGGGGGAGAAGGGGTCTGTCTGCGCTCAAGAAAGGTACAGAATCTCAAAACTGCTTGAAGTTGCAGGCTGTCTCCTTCCACTTCTGATAGGACGACCTCGAGAAGACACACCGTGGGGGCTGCCTAGGTTTTCTTTTGCGCAGTTCGAACGGGGCGACCGGTCTTCCCTTTCCTCGGTGACGACTCGCGAGACGACCAGTGAAACGCTCCCAAAAAAACCGTCACAAAACAATAAGAATAATTGAATGACACGTCCACGTGGCAGTCCAAGATGCCAACGGGGCTTTGTCAACAGTTGACTTTGAGAAGCTTCCTATACTCCGTTATTTGATTTTGGGATTAATATGACAAAAAATTCCTAATTGGTACACAGGTGATAAATTTATCTGGAACTAATTTTTTCACCATAAAAAATTATAAACTGGTACACCCGTGACAAATTTACCCTAAACTAATTTTTTGACCACCCAAAACCCTAAACGGGTACATTTGTGACAAATCTACCATTCGTTAAATTAAATTAATATTAGGAAAAAACCACAAAATGATATACATGTGACAGACGGAGGGTAAAATTCCAAACTACTATATTCGTCAACTGTCACGTGTCATCTAACTCAGAAATTTGGAGAAAAACTAACAAAGGGTAAAATTGTCACGGGTGTACCAGTTTGGGGTTTTTTGAGGTCAAAAAATTAGTTTGGGATAAATTTATCACAAATGTATCAGTTTGGAGCTTTTCGTAATATTAACTCTTGATTCCACGCGGCTCTTAAATTTTTTCTCAAATTTCAGCCTAGTGCATCTTAAAATATAGGTAAAAAACCACCAAATACCCCAAACTATGCCCATTGTGACACATTTACTCCGAACCTTTTTTCGTGACACCAAAAAATCCCAAACTTTTACTCGTGTGACACATTTACCCTCCGTTAGGGTTTTGTGAAAAAACACCGTTAAAAGTCCTACGTGGCCGCTGACGTGGCATCCACGTGGTGTCTAAGAAGCAAAGCAGCGTCATTTCACATTTGACGTGGCTGAAGAAATAAAAATAAAAAGGACATCGTCTCTCTCTCACAGTAGCTTCACATTCAAAACTTCTTCCGCCATGTTCAAGGGCTCTCTGAAGCTCCACGGTCTCCACCTACACGAACGAGCCCTTTCTTCGTGATCAGTCTCTCTCGCTTGCTCCACCGTTGCTCCTCTGTTGCCCCCCCCTTGAATTGAAAAACACATTTGCCCCAAATTGTAGGATTTGTTCATGCTATCTCTCTTTGGAAATCTCAGTCCGTGCTTGCGATTAATTGTCAAATGGAGAAGCCCAATTTAGCCTTCTTCGTTGAAGCTTCCTGAGGCCTAAGATGGGCAACGAGATTCCTCGCTTCTCTTTGATCATTCATCTCCTTTGTGCGACTCCAGGAAAGCGCAAAAAGGAAGAAGAAACCATGAGTCCCCAATTGCATTGACGCTCTCATCGATCCGTTTCCTCTTTTTCGAGACTGTAAGGCTGCGTTTGGTCGACCTGATATGATATATTTTATCCTATCCTGTGTTTGGTGGTGGTCCAGGATAGGATAAGGTCGGATATAGACCGGATAAAAAATCCGAGGGGGGATGGGATAGACCTGAATAGGATTTCTAATGTCTATTTTTCCAGAAACCCTACGCTCCACTCGCCGTCATCTTCATCCCTACACCTTGTGCGCTTTCATCAAAAAAACTTCTCGGCTTTTTTTCCTTCACCGACTCCTCCGGACCCGTGAATAGCAAAAAAAAAAAATTTATCTTATCTGACTTTAAATCCGTAGTCCACCAAACAATGGATAGGATATGAAAAAATCCCAGGATTTCTTATCCTATCCTATCTAGTCCTATCATGTTTAGAAATCCGGACGACCAAACGCAGCCTAAGAGTTATCATCTTCCCACATTTTCTCCGCACTCCTCTTTCTAAATTAAGCTAAGTTACACGTGCTTTGTTTGGTTTAAGTAGCCCTTTATGATTTCCCTCTGCATATAAAGGCGTTTGTACCTTCAAATCTAATGGGTCTTTCTTTACATGCTTAATTTTTCACATTTAGAGGTTGTTCGAGATTTGCGACATTTCTTAGCGTAATCTCTTTGTTTATTTGCTCAGTGAATACACAATCCTTTTGGTTTATTAGCTTTTTAACAGCAATTACTAAGCTGTAATTCAGTAGGGAAATTGAATCTCTCTTTGATGATTACTTGTTGTGTCTCAAGTCAGAGCATATCCGCTGGCAAGTGCACGCAAATTGAATGTTGTCCTGTTTGTTGTAAGGTTAGCCACATGCAGCGAGACAACGCCTTGAACTGGCTAGTAGGATTTAAATTGGCAGTCTCAAGTCTTGACCAATGAATTTGAGCTTAAATTTGCAATCGTTAGAAACATTAGACATTGTGTTGAATTGGGTGCAGTGATCAAGTAGAGTGCATATACCTTGCCACAGTGTCCAATGCTTTGTTGTTATTTATGTTGTTCCAATTTGACAAAACTTAGATCATACTCTCAGATGATTTTCATCATTAACCATCGCAAGCTTTAAGTTTTCAAACGTAGAAAGTAGATCAATTTTTGCTTTCAGTCGAATGAAAAATCTATCAATGTTCTTTACCAAAAAAAAAAAAAAAATCTATCAATGTTGTGCTGTGAATTTGTTGTGGTTAGATTACAAATACAGCTGCGCGAACACACTGGTTGGTCCTTAACATATCATATTTCTTTCTTCCACTAATTCTCTCTCTATTCTCTTGTTAGGATTTGGAGGAAAAACTCCACCCAAGTGGTCCATTTGACTGCTAAGGACCCAGACCAGGCTGCCATCCTCAAGGTGAAGAAGATAAAGAACGGCCGCCTCGCCATGTTCGCCATGCGCAATTTCTTCTTGCAAGCATATGTTACCGGGGAGGGACTTGTCGAGAATCTTTCGAACCGCCTCAGCGACTCGTTTGGAAAAAAACTTGCTCACTATGATTGCCAGAACAGCGGAAAGAACTCCTACCCTACAATTTAGTTCTTAAGATCATCCTCTTGAATATGGGAATGAGTTGTACATCTCATTGAGACATTTTAAGGCATTAATCTAATTAGGGGAAAAGTGCCAAAAAAGTCCTAAACCTTTTGTATTAGTGCCAATTTAGTCCTAAACCTTTTTTTGGTGCCAATTTAGTTTTAAACCTTTTGCATTGGTGCCAATTTAGTCCTAAACCTTTTTTTTGTGCCAATTCAGTCCTAAACCTTTTAAATTGGTGCCAATTTAGTCCTAAACCTTTTGTTTTTTTGCCAATTTAGTCCTTCCGGTCAATTTTGACCGGATTTTGCCGACGTGGACGCTTGCCGGCCGGCGGCCCGTCACCGGCGCTGATGTGGCGCCGACGTGGACAACTTTAATATTATTTTAATATTTTTTTGAATTATTATTTTTTTTTTCCACTTTTTTTTTGTCTCTCCCTCCTCTCTCTGGCCGGTCGCCGGTCCGGCGACCGGCAAGAGGCCGGCGAGCTCGACCTCGCCGGCCACTGGCTAGGGTGGCCTCGCCCGGCGAGGGCGGGCCTCGCCTTGGTCGGGCGAGGCTCGACCTCGCCAGATCCGGCGAGGTCGGGCCTCGCCCTCGCCGCGGCCTCCGGTGAGGGCTCGAGCCTTGCCATGGTCGGGCGAGGCCCGACCTCGCCGGATCCGGCGAGGTCGCCGGGCGAGGTTCGACCTCGCCCGGATCCGACGAGGTCGGGCCTCGCCCGACCATGGCAAGGCTCGCCCTCGCCGCGGCCTCCGGCGAGGGGCTCGAGCCTCGCCTTGGTCGCGAGGGCTCGAGCCTCGCCTTGGTCGGGCGAGGCTCGACCTCGCCAGATCCGGCGAGGTCGGGCCTCGCCCGACCATGGTGAGGCTCGCCTCGCGGCGGCCTTCGGCGAGGGCACGAGCCTCGCCATGGTCGGGCGAGGCCCGACCTCGCCGGATCTGGGCGAGGTCGGGCCTCGCCCGACCATGGCGAGGCTCGCCCTCGCCGGGCGAGGCCGCCCTCGCCAGTGGCCGGCGAGGTCGAGCTCGCCGGCCTCTGGCCTCTGGCCGGTCGCCGGCCAGAGAGAGGAGGGAGAGACAAAAAAAAAGTGGAAAAAAAGAGGAAAAAAAGGAAAAAAAAATAAAAATTCAAAAAAATATTAACGTTGTCCACGTCGGCGCCACGTCAGCGCCGGTGACCGGCCGCCGGCCGGCAGGCGTCCACGTCGGCAAAATCCGATCAAAATTGACTAGAAAGACTAAATTGGCACAAAAACAAAAGGTTTAGGACTGAATTGGCACCAATTTAAAAGGTTTAGGACTGAATTGGCACCAAAAAAAGGTTTATGACTAAATTGGCACCAATGCAAAAGGTTTAGGACTGAATTGGCACCAAAAAAAAGTTTAGGACTAAATTAGCACTAATGCAAAAGGTTTAGGACTTTTTTGGCACTTTTCCCATCTAATTAGAATTTTCACTTGGAACTTTCTCTCTTATGATCCATATAGAGGGCATGATTAAGTTGGCCATTTCCTTCGCGCCCTGCAGCTTCTCATTTCCTTCACGCTTTATTGTCAGTAATGAAGAGAAGTGGAAGTGACAGAACAATATACAAGTGAAAGTGGAAGTGTGAAGCAAGAGAAAAGCTTTATTTGAGATGAATAGTTGTATTGATAGGAGTGATGTGCGCAATGTTGCTGATGAAGTTGGATTATATTACCAATTATGTTCAATTGTATTAGCAAATATAACTTGATTGTATTCCATTGTATTAGCATATCCAAGTTTATAAAGTTTATGTACCATTAAGTGCCTGTGTGGGTGGATATCATTGATTTACTTGATAATATCTATACATGTTATAATAATATAAGTAAAATGGTAAGTTACACAATATTTGCAACAAGAAATTAAACTGAACAAGTGCACAAGACCAATCATCTGCGGCCACCATCAAAATCTCGACTTCATTAATCTAATCACATCAGCATACCCATAATTGGATAATGATTCATAATTAGTGTTTAACTTGGATTACAACCTAAAATGAACTCTTGCAACTCAACCAAAAAGGAACTCGGATTACAAC